AACGATACCGTCATTAGGACCGATGCTTCTCGATGTCGTACTACCTCTTAATAAATCGCGCCTGCGAAATATCGCAATATATAGTGAATACGGAATAGATCAAGATAAATATTTTGTACCGATTTTTTTGTACACTTCTATTATGATCACGGTGGGTATAACTATCATGGTAGCTGTTGATACCATGCATATAGCATGTACCTCACACGCATGCAGTTTATTTCAATTTATTGGGTAAGTGTGAGAGAGTAAAATGTTCACGATACATTTTCACAAAATATCGTGGTATTGCAGTCAACAGATTGAAAATGTAATATCAAATGTACCTATCGGCGATGAAGTCAACCAAATCAGACATTGTACAAATACAGAATATAAAATGTTCAGCGAGGAAATGATATATCGGAAATATATTATCTGTTTAAAGAAACATCAAATTGCTTTAGAGTAAAGAACTTTTTTTGTGTCATTTTTTTCGATAGCATTTTTTTACGCCAAATACTTACAATATATTAAATAGCACTTAATAAAAGCATAAATCCAATTAAATAAGAGAAATCCTAGTTTTGATCAAAGCAGATCGTTTTAATACTTCAATTAGAGATTATTATATTCAATTAGATATTACAATTTAATGTTTCAATACGCATCGATAAATTGAAATATCAAAACATGGCCATTTGATTTTCAATATTTTACATCGAAACTTTAAGATTCCAAATATTATTATAATAAAATTGAATAGGAACGTGCGCATCCGCATTTGTAAAAGTAGATGATTTTTGGAAATGAGAAGTTGATCGTCTGAACTATGATGTTTTCGGCCACTCTGAGTGACAATATATAGAATGCATATATTGAGTGTTTTTCATTTAATGATACAAATTAATACAAGTGTGTATCTTTGTTACTCATTGAATACTAAGAAAGATAGAAGAATATAGATGCTCGTGTCGACTTGTGCCACCAAACATAGAAAACATCTGTAGTAATGCAGGTTTGTTCGTGTCACATGTTCCAATCATAATTCCTACTCACTCCAATGAGCGAATTGGAGTGAATAGAAGCTATGCTAGGAGCATATTGAAGTATGTTGGAGCATATGATGCGACAAATCCAGTATTACATATGTGTGCATTAAGTGCTCGGTGTAAACTAGAGCTATATTGATAGACAGAAAAAAGTGACACTTTTTTTGTATGAATTTAAAAACGCATATTTAAGTTTTAAAATTAATAGCATAATACGTCTAAAAGATATATAAAAATCTTGGGAGTCCAGAGGAGAAGACAAGAGTGGCATTTGTTCTTTCCTGGGTGACAATTTCTAATACAATTTCTCTTTCTGGAATTTATATTTACTTTGTCGCGATGAGAAAGCTTTTAATGCTTAAAGATGTATACATTTGTAATTATATATGTTTTATATATATATATATATAACATTATATATATATTATATATATATGTATTATATAACATATATATATATATATAACATTATATATATATTATATATATATGTATTATATAACATATATATATATATATATGATGTTATTTTCTTTCTATATATATATATATGTTATATAATACATATATATATAATATATATATAATGTTATATATATATATATATAACATTATATATATATTATATATATATGTATTATATAACATATATATATATATAGAAAGAAAATAACATCATATATATATATATATATTATATATATATGTATTATATAACATATATATATATATATATTATATATATATGTATTATATAACATATATATATATATATAACATTATATATATATTATATATATATGTATTATATAACATATATATATATATATAACATTATATATATATTATATATATTATATATATATGTATTATATAACATATATATATATATATAACATTATATATATATTATATATATATGTATTATATAACATATATATATATATAGAAAGAAAATAACATCATATATATATATATATAACATTATATATATATTATATATATTATATATATTATATATATATGTATTATATAACATATATATATATATATATTATATATATATGTATTATATAACATATATATATATATAGAAAGAAAATAACATCATATATATATATATATATATATATATATAACATTATATATATATTATATATATTATATATAATATATATATTTTAATATTTTGGATCATGCTCCTCCAGAAAAAATTCTGCGGACGCCTTTGAAAGTAATGGTATTCTTTTATCATAGTGAATTCGGCAACTTGCACTAATACACTCAGAGAAAGATTTTTCCAATTAAAAAAATATTTCTTTACTATACGCTTACGGTAAAGAAAAAATTTCTTTGATTTCCCTCAGAGAAAAATTTTCACCAGGGTTGAACGTCATTTTTTCGATTTAAACATAATTTCTTTAAATCAAATAAATTTTTTTATTTCATCATCAAACAAATGACATTTAAATCAAAGAATTTTTTTCATTAACTGTATAGCAAAGAAACATTTCTTTATATCGAAGAAACCTTTCTCTAGATGTGCGCACACTGCGCATGCTAAGTATAAACTTTTTTCATGCCACATATTCGATCAATGCTCTCTACTCCAATGCCAAGAAATTTTCGCATTCGGTTAGATTATACTATATTACCATGCGAACTTTATGTTGTATTTCGCGAATAAAAATTGCATTAGACTGCAGTGCTAAAATTATATTCAGTAAAATGAAATAAATTGAATGAGAGTAAACCTTATTGTACTACAATTTTTGACAGTGCGGTTTGATTTATTTAATCAAAATGGCGGATAAAATTTATATTCTGCAAGAATTGATAAAAACTAGTAGATTTACAGTACTTTTTAGTACTCACTTTATCTCAATTCAGTGTTATTGTGCTATTTCAGTTTAAGGTTGCCCTAAGTTAATGCTGCACTGTGATTGATCGCATTTATTCCGAACCATATTGCACTAGTACTATATCAGGGCAGTACTAACCAGTAGCGCATTAGTCCGGATTCTCATACGGATACCGGCGCTTTGACACCGAGCGCTGATTGGTGAAGAACGAGTTATGTAAAATTTATCCCTTTCATCCATTTTTCACCAATCATACTCGGTGTCAAAGCGTCAGTATTCTACATGAGGATTTGGGCTTAATCTACTTTTGGGGTTTTGAGCCCCAGAAAGCCAAAATGTCAGGAGCGCCACAATAAAAAAATAAAAAAATAAAATTATTTAAACAAGTGCATCTATAATTTTGTGATTTTTGTAAAATCATGGAATAATCAACAAATAATAATTCTATTAACAGTATAGATATATACTTGACTCATAAGACTCATAAGATTCGCTTTTTTAATATGATAATAGATTAGATGATATAATTTACATTATATTTGTTGTACATTTGTAGACAAAGTCTAATTCAATAAATTTCGGCTTTAACTTTCTCTGGCCGATTGTCTACGTTCCAATCACACACACACAAGTGTATTTAAAATATTATTATAATTTTTTTGCTGTTTAACCATTAGGAGAAGTGGGATCATTCGAAGATCACAAGCTTATAGTTGGGCGCAAATTTCAGTAACGCGATTCTGGTATTAATACAGAATAAGTGCAGACCATCGAATTCGCTATATCTAATATTGGTATTAATACAAATTGGCTAGTATTGAATCTATCTTTCTAATCAATATATTCGGTAAAAAATTTTTCATGTATAAATATGGACATATTTTATATATAATTGTACATATTTATGAATATTTATGTGTGTTTTTTATGCATGTTTATACATATTTATATATATTCAATATTCATGCATACAAATTTTTTTATCGGGATTGATGTATTGGCACTTGTATTTTGATTCGAGATATCAATAGTTTGTGTGTTCCTCCATATATCTCGAGCTTAAATACTTCAATGTGAATGTATTTGTGTTATGTATCTATACATATCCAATTTTGCAAATCGCGTACTGAAATCTTTCTTAATCTTGAAACGCAATCATGAACAGAATTAGAGAGTGTGTATATATATATATATATATATATATATATATATATATATATACACTCATACAATATATTGATATAGTAATATCACGTACATATTAAATTGACAAATAATTTAATATTATTGATGTTAATAAGCATCTTATGAAAATATTAATAATTTGATGTTAATAAAAAACTCACAGACTTGCCAATAATTTAATTATTGCGAAAAATATTATATCAGTCGGGATTCGAACCAGAATCTCCTATTTCTAGTTCTATTCATGATTGCTTCATCAAAACTGAAAAAGATTTCAGCGCGCAATTTGCAGAATTGGACATATATAATATATAAATTTATACGGAAATACAATATTTAAGTATTAAGATCTACTTTGACTAAAATTCTCTCTCTCTAGGATTTCTCTTATCTAATTAGATCTTATCTAATTTATTCTCATCAGTCTAATTTTGTTTTATACCAGTAAACAAGGTGATGTTATTTATCATTTTGATATTATTTTGACGTTCAAAATAATTATTTTATTAAAATCATGTTGTTAAAATAACGATAAATAACGCCAGCTTGCTAGTTAATTGCAAACATAATTGTTAATAAAAGCATATATAATTAATTAATTAATTAATTAATCGTTATTAGATATGTCGATATATTGAATGATACGCATAAGATTGTCGGAATTAGCTTTTTATTGATCATCGTTGCAGTTTTTAGTTTACTTGGAGTTCGAGTAAGTTCTTAAATAATCGTTCTTAAATAATCGACTTTTCAATAATTGGCATCGAGATATATTAAATTAAAAAACTTATGATTTCATAAATTTCGTGCAAATATGATTGTATTTCAGATAGCACATGGATGTATAATATCTTTGATGTATTATAGATTGTCTATGTGTTAGACCAATTAGAAGAACTGATTAGATTTACGTTTATAATTATGGGGGCATTATTACAGTTGATGATCGTATGTTATTCTGGCCAGAAATTAATGGATGAAAGTCAGAATATATTTCATCGAGCGTAATAATTATTTTATATTTTCTCAAACATCCGTTATTTTAAATATCTATATTCAAAATCTGCAAATTGATTTTAAATTATTTTATAACTGTAGTTCAAATTATTTTTTAATAGTAAATTTTTAATAGTAAACTATACATGAAGTATGTTATGCAAAATGCAACATATAAAATTTTGGATATATTGTAGAAAGTGTTACATAAGATTTTATTTAATAGTTTGATTTTTAAATTTACGATAGTCTGTAGAATTTTAGTGACATATTGATAAAAATTTAAATAAAAATTAATTTTTTTATACATATATATATATATATATA